TCAAATCTATTTGATTGCTACTAATTTCAACCCAAATTATAAATTAAAAGGTGTTGAAAGAATAGTTGAAAAGATTTATGCAAATTTAAAAATTAAAGATGATGAAACTCATAGTGTTGAAGATTGTAAAAGTAGCATATATACAAAAGCTAGAGAGTTATATTATACTTATAAAGCTATGGAAAAAAATATTCCAATAGTTGAACCTCCATCTTGTAGGCCTAGAAGTGATGATACGGATGATTGGATGGATGATTATCTTGAGCTTGAATCCTTTACTAATAATGATTTTGATTTATATTTCAATCAAGCACGGAAAAATATTAGACATGAAGAAGGACAACTTCAAACTCAAATATTAGTATGGTGGAAGAATCGTGAAAATCAATTTCCGACCCTTACTAGGGTTGTTTGAGATGTGCTAGTGATTCAAGCATCATCGGTCGCTTTGGAGAAAGCCTTTAGTGCGGCGAGATTTATGATTGGAGATCATCGATATTCATTAGCAAAGGATAGTTTGGGGAAATATCGATGTTGTTTCGAGATTGGGTCAATGAAATACCGGTCTACCACAATTAAGTAGCCAAATAGAAGACGAAATAGATGAAATATTTGGTGATAATAGTGATGATGGCATGGAAGCAATGGAAGAAGAACGACAAATACAAGTTCCAAAAAATGTTTCTTTTGAAATGATACAAAAGTTACGACAAGATTTGAAAAATAGTTCCAATTGTTAGTAGTTAGTAGTTAGTACAATAATTAATATTCAATACCTAGATTATGTACTCTTTGTCTCTTTCTAATATTTGTATTGTACAATTTATTTATTTGAATAAATATACGGCTATTCGCCTTTGATTTTCTTTTAAAATAGTCTCTTATATTTAATCCAAGTCATTTTACAAATTTAATTTTCAACTATTTTAATATTAGTTTAAACTTTAATACAAAATTGAATTTTAAGGTTTAATTCAGCAGAAGATGATTTCCGGTGTTACCCATCCATTAGAAGATGATCTGCCTTGCTCCTTACTTTTTGGATCAACTTGTTTTTCCCCATGTACTCACTGCCTGTCACTATTTACGTTGGTAGCATTTCATGTTTCTCATTCTTCTTAGCTTCCCCTTTCTTGGCAAGATTCTCCCTCCAGCATTCAGTATTGGAGTGTTTGTATTTATTATAGAAACTACAATGAGTTGGTTTCAAGGCGTATACCACATTTTGTTCTATCACTTCTCCATTTGCGTTCTTGAAGAACACTGAGTCAGCAAATTTTGCCCCCATCTCGACCACCACTAGAATTCTAGCAAAATTAAGGCCTTGTTTCTTCTCCGTGTTCTGATCCGCCATCAAAGATTTCCCCACCAAACTCCATATCTTGCTTAAGCCTAATGGACTCATATCTTCTTCTGGATGGAACCTTTGAGAATTTCCGGTAAAAACGGTTTCGGTAAATAAATTTGGTAACGAGGACCGGTTCCAGTAAAACCGATCTTATTGATCCGGTCCTATCCAATCGCCATCCTTAGATTAGATATCACATCAATGTATGACTTAGTTTTCACCCTCACACCAATTTACATTAGATTATTAGATAGAATCCACTAAATCTATGTTGTTAATTCTTTTCTCATTAACTACCTGTTTGGTCCGGCAAGTAGCAACGAGGTGAATTCTACCGTTGGCCACCATTAAAAAGACTTCTAAGCAAAAGAATTATCAATACATGCATAAACACTATTCAAGAATTACTTAATTGTTATTCATACGTTGTTAATTGCTCATGGTTCCCACAACCCTAGTTGTGAATTTAGTTACTCATGCTTAAAAGAACACTATTCATGTTTTGATAAAGAGAATTCATGAACTTACTATTAGAGTAGAAGGAACCTGAAATATCCAATTGAATTTCAAAGTCAAAATCTTGTAAAACGAAATTCGGAAATCAAATTGCTAAAGTTGCAAGTTAATTCCACTAAATATCAAGAACTAAAAGTAAACAATAATGTTTAACCCCCAAAACAAGGTTTACATACCATATTTATAGAAAAACATGTCCTAAACAAAAAGGAAACAAAATAAGAAAATAAACTTCTGGAACGCGACATCAATCAACGACTCGACCTATGGACCGTGGGTCGACCTACGGTCAGTAGGTCCCTTCCGTTGGTCAACACTTAGAACATTTCAGCAGGACCTGGAACCTTCACTCTCAGATCATCAACGACGGACGTGCAAGACGGATCATAGGTCAACCTACGGTCTGTGGGTCCTCTTCTGTGGGTCCACACTTAGGAATTTTCATCAGGTACTCGAACTTCAACTCTCTGAACCCATTCGACGGATGTGCAGGATGGCCCGTGGGTCGACCTACAGTCCGTCAGTCACTTCGTAGTTCCACACTTGGTCATAATTCCCTGATGATCCATACACTCCTACCCAACGACGGTTCGTCACAAGACCTACGGTCCGTAGACCACTTACGTGGGTGGCACCTTCTGCATACTTTCAGCTGTCATCTCACTCAACCACATCCAAGCCTATTTCCTGTAAACATAACACACAAAACATTATTTCTAATACAAAATGGCCCTAGACACACACAACTCTTAAGTGAAATGTATTTAAAATACCGTAAACTCACGGTATATCACTTATATTCATTTTTATTGATTAAAGCATACATATGATAAGTTATAATTTTTTCGTATCAATACAATACCAAACATTATAAGAGTCATTCATATGGAGTTTGATTTACCATTTGAAGAGTAAAATTAAAGTAGAAAACTTGCGGTGTATCTGAGAAAATTTTGAATTTCCTAGAGTGTTTAATGTTAAACAAAATTAACTTCACTCTTACACCACTTCTTCTTAACCTTTAACCTTAAATTAGAACAGAAATGGTGTCTTAGATGGATAATGTTTTTATAAAAAAATAAGTGGATTTTTTAATTTATTTTTTTTGTATTTAGTAAGTAAGCCAAAAAAATTTATATATATTTAGACAAATACTATAGAAGGTTCAGTTGGGAGGTAAGGGTGTGGAAAGATAGGGTTGAAGGGTATGAGGCAGAGGCGTATCTGGGGGGGGGGGGGGTTCATCGGGTTCACGTGAACCCATGGTCCCCTCCCGAGATCATATATAGTAGTGTTATATTTTTTTTAAAATATTGAAATATAGATGTGTGAACCCACACTTGAAGTATCACATAATGCGATTATGACTGGGTGCACCTCTCTCCGCGAGGTTAAAAATTTGAATTTTATATTTATCTTATTTTATTTTTCTTTCTAAAATTAAATAACACTTCTCTAAGTGGTAATTGGTGTGTGCGTCCAGGGGCGGATTTACGTTTAACCAAGGGGGTTCATTTGAACCCCTATCGTAGAAAAATTACACTATATATATACGATTAAATTTTTAATTTATGTGTATATATATAATATTGAACCCCCTGAACATACACCAAAGGCGTAGCTCAGTGGTGTTGTGGGTTCAAGAATTTGTGCTGCTGCACGCGAGGTCGCGTGTTCGAATCCGAACAGAGGCAATTTTTTATCAACTTATATTTTAGGTGTTTTAATTGTTTTTTTAAAATAATAGGGAATCCGAAAACGACTTTAGTTCCAAAAAATTAAAGCCCTGATAGGAAATTTAGGATTTATTAGTTTAATCCCTAATTACAAAGTCAAATATTAAAAAACTCTTTTCTTCTTTTAGGATTTTTTTACGTTTTATTTTTTCATCGCTCTTCTTCCTTGTTGGGCGTTGGCTGCTGCTTGTCACTGTTGGTTGCTACTTGTCGCTGCTGCTTGCTGCTTCTGTTGGATTGGTCATTATTGAAAACTTGAAGTCTATATCCGCAATTGTTTCTTTCATCTCCATTAATAACTACTTCGGTAAGTTTTTGGTTCCCTTTTTTCTTACTAGATTTCTATATACCTTATTTCGTTATTTCTTGATGTGTTTCTTTTAGTTGGCTGAATTATTGATATCATTGAAGTTTCAATTTTTTTGTTTGGCTAATTTAATATATTTTCTTAATCTAAAATTGGAGAGATAGAGAAATATAATTTAATAATTAAATAACCATTGCTTAAGCTTTTTGGTTTTGGTCCTTATTGTGTGTATGTTTTTTTTTAAATAGTTCTTATTGTGTATTTAATTCTCTTAAATTCTAACTAAACTTTTACTTTACAATCCAGTCTTAATATTCAATGAAGAAGTATTTTACCCCAATGTTAAAATAAAGTTTAGCCTCTCATAGTCATAGTCAATCTAACCAAGAGAAAAATATCAATCATTCAAAAGTACCATCACATTTTTCTCAAGAATTTGATTTGAGTACTTTAAAGTTTGATCCCGGTGAAAGAACTCCAATATTGAATTATCATCCAAATCATCGTGATGTTATTAGAAGGGCATACCTTGTGAGTGGTCCTTGTCAACCTCGCTTGGAGGAACATGAGTACCCTCAAACAAATATTTCTGGAGCAATGTGTTGTTTTAATCATGAATGGTTTGATGATGTATATCATGATTGGTTGGAGTACAGTGTTAGTAAAGATGCAGCCTATTGTTTGAATTGTTCTCTATTTAATGATCATAATATTAATCAAGGTGGAAGTATTTTCATGTATAGGATTTCAGAATTGGAATAAAAAGAGTGGTCTTGACAAGCATATTGGTCTGCAGAATAGCCCACATAATCGATCAAAAAAGAAATGTCAGGATTTACTACGACAATAACAATCGATTCAATCTGCATTTGAGAGATAATCTAATCAAATTAAACATGGATATTATATCCGCTTAAGTGTTTCGGTTGATGTAGTAAGACTTCTCATAACTCAAGGACTAGCGTTTCGAGGTGATGATGAATCTAAATCATCACTTAATAGGGGTAATATTCTTCAGATTCTCTCATGGTATGCAAAAAGGTGTGATAAAATTCATGATTATGTACTTGAACATGCCCCTCAAAATGATCAAATGACTTCTCCAATAATTCAAAAAGATATTGTGAGTGCATGCAAGATAGAAACAGTTAAAGCTATTCTCGAGGAACTAAATGGTGACTACTTTGCCTTACTAGTTGATGAATCTTTTGATATTTCACGCAAGGAGCAAATGACTATTGTATTACAATATGTTGATAGAATGGGATTTGTGATGGTGCAACTTATTGGCATTATTCATATTCAAGATACTAGTGCATTATCCCTGAAAAAGACAATTATTAATTTACTTGCTCAACATTCTTTGAGTCCATCACGTGTGCATGGACAATGTTATGATGGGGAAAGCAATATGCAAGGTGAGGTCAATGGACTTAAAATGTTGATTAGGGAAGAAAGTAGATCGGCTCATTCTCTACATTGTTTTGCTCATCAACTTCAACTAACTCTTGTTGGGGGTCTCTAAAAAATGTGTTGAAGTGGGAAAACTTGTAGTATTGATCTCAAATATTTTTAATGTATTGGGATCTTCTTTTAAGCGTATGGATGATTTACGAGATTCTCAAAAAGCAGAAATTCAAGATGCATTAGATATGGGTGAACTGACAACCGGTAGGGGCTTGAATCAACAACTTGGTCTTTCAAGAGCTTGTGATCCTCGTTGGGGATCACATTATAAATCCTTTAACAATTTTATTCTTATGTTTGGCTCTATTGTTGAAGTTATTGAATCAATTGCTCTTGATGCACGAAGTATGGATGAAAGAACCAAGGCAATGTGACATCTTGAATCTTGTCGAACATTTGAGGTTGCGTTCATGTTGCATTTGATGAGAGATGTATTAGCAATCACAAATGAGCTCAATAAATGCTTACAAAGAAAGGAGCAAGATGTTGCAAATGCCATGCTACTTGTTGAAGTAGCAAAGAAAAGGTTGCAAGTTTTAAGGGATGGTGAATGGAATTCTCTTATTGCTAAGGTATCTATATTTTGTACCAAACAAGAAATTTTGATACCTAACTTTGAGGAGCCATATGTTAGCTCTTTAAGATCACGGCGAAGACTTGCTCACTATACAGTCTTACATCATTACCGTGTTGAAGTGTTTTGCAATATTATTGATTGGCAACTTCAAGAGCTTAATGATCATTTAAATGAGGTAGCTATTGATTTGCTCCATGGAATCGCTTGTTTGAATCCAATTAACTCGTTTTCAAGTTTTGACAGCAAAAAAATAATGAGGATGACTGAATTATATCCAGATGATTTTGATGAACTTAATATGGATACTCTTGAGAATCAACTTGCAAGTTACATTGTTGATGTTCGTGATGTTGATGAAAGGTTCTCTGATCTAAATGGACTTTGTAATCTTTCCAAAAGATTAGTCCAAACAAAAAAAACATTCAAATTATCCTCTGGTGTTCCGCTTAGTGAAACTTGCTCTACTTCTACCAGTTGTCACTGCATCTATTGAAAGAGCTTTCTTGGCAATGAAGTTTATCAAGAATGACTTGCGAAGTCAACTGGGTGATGAGTTTTTTAGTGGTTGTTTGGTGCCTTTTGTAGAAAAAAGAGGTATTTGATAGTATTCCTAATGATGCTATTATTAAGACATTTCAAGATATGAAACCTAGTAGAGTATAATTGTAATGATCTATTTAAGTTTTTAGATATATGTGCTCTAAATTAATTTATTTTATCCGACCCATTTATTTGTGGATATTATTTACGTGATTAATTATTTTTTTAACCCCATTGATGAAAATCCTCCCTCCACCACTGTGTTTGTCTATATATATATATATAAGAATTAATTTTAAACCTATAATTTTAAAATTTTAACGGTTTTCAGTAGTAATAAACTAAATGGCAAACCGATTAAATTTATTTTATAACTGTGCACCCATCATCTCAAAATTCTGGATACGCCTCTGATACGAGAAATGGGGATGAAGATGAGGTGTGTTGGATGTTGGGGAGGACATAATCAATCTGAAATATCACTAGCTAGTGCAACTTATTTTCCCTACTTTCACAAGGAAAGTTATTTTTCGTATTTTTACAGAGTTTATGTAAGCTGAGTCATGTAAGGGAGGTTAGGGTTATCATAGTTTCTAGAAAAAAGACTACCAATTAAATCATATCAAATTGAATTGATTTTTAGATGATGATTATTATATAAATTTATAATTAGAGTGAATAATTAGATAGATTTTTTATTTTATAAAAATTAACCAAAATAATATCGAACCAGTATCATACCAAATAATGTGTAAAATATATTTTATATTTTAAGTTGAAAATAATAACATATTAAACCTTTTGGTTTAGACGTCGTGTGATGGAAGGGACTCCAAGCGGCTACATGAATAATACTCAAAGTCCCAACACCAAAACTTATTGTACTACTCTGATCTAATCAAAATTAAATTAAATTAATACTAACATCTCGACTTTCGAATAGTATCTGCTAAGCTACAAGGTACTCCGCTGATTTTTTATAACAAACTACAAGTTATTAGATATTTTTTCTCTCTTATGATTTAAATTTCTCTTATTTGATACTTAATTTAAGTAAACTCAGTTATTTATTTTCATTTTGATGATTTCTTCTCGCTTGTGTGATTTAATCTTTTTATTTTATCTTTGCTTAGTATTGTTTTACACTACCACAAAATAATGAGATGAATCTCTATTCTTGTTTTCTTTCCTATTTTCTTGATTCATCACTTTTTAAACAATAAAAATATTTAATGAGAGGTATAAGCATACGATAACACGTTCTAACTTTTTTATTATTATTTTTATAAGAACATAAAAAATTAATCAAATCGTATTGATAGTATAAAGAAAAACCAAAATGAAGGGATATTTTGAAAAGTAATTTTGATTATATAAAATAAAATAACTAAAAATTGATATGATAAATTTTTTATAAAATAACAATACAGTAAAACATCATTAAATTAATACTCGGTAAATTATTAATCTCTCTAAGATAATACAATGAAAAAAACCAACGTATTTCAATAAGATAATAAGATAATATATTTTCAGAAGACTCCTATATAAATATATGGTCCCATTAAAATTATAAATTAATAATTCTTTAAAAGTACAAATATATCTAAGACAACTTAGTGAAATATGATTATATTGTTAACCTCATAAAATCAGTTGATTTTGATAAAACGACTCTTAACAATTCACAGGAAAAGAAATAAGAAAGCAAAGGAGCCAAGCATATAGCACGAAAAAGGGAAGTGATACGATCTGATAACCAACGGAAGAAAGGAAAGCCATGATTAGAGGAATTCCAAATCAATTCAACATACCCACAATCCTAGCAATAGTTCAATCTAGCAAAGACTAATTCAAAGATCAGCAATCCAGCCAAGAATCAAGTGGGCTATCAAGATAAGGAAGTCAGCAATTCATCCAAGAATCAAGGGGGCTATCGAGAGAAGGAAGAGAATCAATTCAAGCCGAGATTCGAGAAGATCATCTAAAGAAGGAAGTAAAACGATTTGATCATGCACATATCTAATATGGACATGAATTAGCAAATCGCCTCAATCAATGAATCTCTCAATATCCTTGATTGAGAGAAACACCCTTGGGGTTTTTCCTTACAAGAGAAAGCAGCATACCTATCTATATAGACCTCATTTAGTCTTAGTTATCAAGTACGGACTTCACTTGAACTTGTACTATTTTCTCCTATTGTCATTCATAAAAACATTATACTCTCATAAGTAAACAATTGAAAAAAGAAAAGAGAAAGAACGATCTAAGTGTAAGTTATACAAGTAAAGGTTGTGTCAAAGTAGAAGATCTGATTTGCATATCAGACAGGGCTCCGAGTAGAAATACTTCGTAAACACCCAAGTTCTCAACAAGCTGTTAAGAAAACCCTTGAAACCCAAGGGGACTGAAAGTAGGCACCACATCGATGTTCTGAAACAGTATAAAATTCTCTGAGTCCTTTACTTACTGCATTTACTCTTATCTTATATTGTAAAACTAATCTGCAGGTGAGTCGACTAAAGAATTTTTTTAATTTACCCCCATCTTCACTTTCAATTGGTATCAGAGCAAGTCTCACAAATAAAGTGATTAACACATGAGCAAAGATATATGGCGAACTATCAAATCCCTGATGCTCTCCTTCAAGACGGGCATTCCTCAAACCGACCCCCTTACTTCTATGGTCAACAATACTCTCATTGGAAAGACAGATTTAGAATTTTTGTTATCTCAAATGACCTCCTAGCATAGATAGTCATCACGAAAGGACCAAAGCCAATTCATGGATTCACTGGAAAGGACGCTACTGACAAACCCTTTGATCCAAAATTCTTTGACATTACAAAGGAACAACAAGAGGTAATCTAAACTAAAGCTAGGGCAATAAGCTTATTGTATTGTGCAATTAGCAAAGCATAATATGAAAAGATTTTTAATCTGTGAAACTGTGAAAGAAATGTAGGACAAACTTGAAGTTACCTATGAAGAAACCAACAAAGTCAAGGAAGCTCAACTCAGTTTACTGAAAAACGAATATGAGTTGTTCAAAATGGCAGAAGATGAAAACGTTGAGAACATGTTCTTAAGGTTCAGTAAAATCATTTGTGAGCTCAAGTCTTTGGGTATGATATACTCAAATGGACTACAAGTCAGGAATCTTAATAGAAGTCTCTCAAAAGCATGGGAAACTAAAGCAGCCATTTTAGAAAATGGAGATCTGGAAAAACTGACTTATGACAAACTCAGAGGAAATCTTATGGCTTATGAACAAAACCATATTAACAGATACCACAGAGATGATAAAAGATAAACGGTCACATTCACTGCTGGAACTACTGAAGTTGAAGAATAGGTGGATGAAACTCAAAGTGAGGGAATGACCCTCATCAATCGAGGAGTTAGCTAAATGTCGAGTCAAAGGAGGCAAAGGCATCAACAAGTTTCAAGAACAATGAATACCAAAGAAATGATGATCGATGCTACTACTGTGAAAAACCAGGCCACATTAAACAAAATTATCTAGAGCGAAAACGGAGAAACAGCCGAAGAAGTGAAGATTCAAAAAGACTTGAAGCCTGGAGTCAAGGAGAAACATTTGAAGATGATCATGATGAAACCGCCAACATATGATTCATGGCACTAGAGGAATCAAGTTAGGTAAGACCTTTTAACCATTCAAATTTCAATGACTTACAGAACTCTCTGATATGGTTACTAACGAATTGCAGAAAGTTATCGATGAATATAACAAACTTGCTCAAGAAAAGAAGGACTGGAAAATTCTTCTAGAAGCAAGTCAGATTGAAGTCGACTTGCTGGAAGAAGAACCGGAGGAAGTAAAAATGCAGTTGAATAGAATCAGAAAGTCTCCTAGTCATAGTTCCATTAGATCCAATAGATCTATCTTAATTGTCTCCTATAATTCCTCTTTTCATTTTACTGAAAACTCCGTTCAAATTACTTGTTTTACTTGTGGTGATATAGGCCATAAATCTTTTTACTGCAGGAAATATTCCTCTGAAAAATGGATTTGGAGACCAAAAGTTGTTAATCCTAACCCTCAAAGACCCAAAAATATTTGGGTACCTAAAATAAATTAATCTATTTGTCTTGCAGGAGCAAACCAAGAAAACCTAAAAAAAGAGAATGTGGGTAATAGACAGTGGATGCTCCAGACATATGTGCGGAAAGAAATAAAACTTCAAAACTCTTACAAAATTGATGGAGGATATGTACTATTCAGAGACAATG